CTGTATTTATGACCTTTATTACAGTTGTTGCTGTTCTTACATCAATTGCTATAGTCCGCCGCATCCTTATGGCAACATCTGTCCTTAAGGCAAGTATGATGTTCAATTAATCATATTAAATTGTAAGAACATAAATGGTAAAAAGATGATGACACTCAAAGTTGTAGAGACCTTTTGGTTTAAAAAATGTTATGGTTTCTTTGATTTAAGAACTACAAACTCCAATTAGGTGAAGCTGCTCCAAGAAGCTGTATATGAGCATTTGTAAAGTAAAATGCCGATGTAGGATATGTTAGGAGTTAGCCTTTAACTTAGGTTAGGCTACTGTTTCCCTCTGAATTCTCAGTGTATGGTTAAGAAGAAATATACAGAATGATAGAAACAACATATAAGAAATAGTAGACACAAGACATATTTTTGATACATTTAGACATTGTTTAGGCATAATAGGATCTTATGGATTTGTTCCACAAGTCCACATTTGGAGTTTCATGAACATACTAAAAATGAAAAGATAAGAAACATGGTTATTTCATCAAAAAGCAAAAAAGTATTTGATGAAATACATAACTGTTACTGGTTAACCTAAAAAAGGTATGGCATGGGACAAAGGCCACTGCATTGTTATTAATGCCTTAATGTGTCTAATACTTAAATCATCTTTAGGCAAGCCCTAGAAATATTTTTAGTGAGCACTGTTAAGCATGATACGGCTCATCTCTAGATTTGTGTCAAAACATGTCTTACTCATTCAAGTTGTCAAATTAAGAAAATTTAAGATGGCCAGAAATCTGTATTGAGAGCAGGACTGAGCCTAGCTAATATGCATCAGAGGTTCTGTTGAGCCATGTTTCCCATTAGCTATAACCGAAAATATATATTTTTAATTTTGGGATGAATGTTGACGAGTTAAAGCAACTGAAATAATTACATATAATTTATGCATATATTATTACTAAAGTTTCACAGAAGCAAGTGCTGATGTTGCCAATAGCACATAATTGAAAGGCTTTTTATCACAAATGGTCCCTGAGGTTTGCAAAATTATCACATATCGTCCCTAATGTTTTTTTGTGACACTAATGGTCCTTAAGGTTACCCTCCACACATCAAAATGGTCCGTGCCGTTAGCTTCCATCAAATTTTCTGTCATGGACCATTTGTGATAAAAATCCTTTCACAAAAAAAAGTGATAATTTCGCAAACCTCAAGGACCATTTGTGATAAAAAGCCTAATTGAAATGTGCACCGTCCACTTTTGGAAACACCAGTCATAACTTATTTATCATAGTACCTGGTAGTCTTCTTCACCCAGAGTTGTTTACTTTCCCTTAACCTCAATGGCTCTATACATTAATCTGTATGCAGGTTGCTGCGAAGGTCATAGGAGAAGCTCAAGCGCTCATAATATTTCCAGTCCTTCCGTATACCATCCTTGCAATTTTTTACATGTTCTGGTTTTCAGCTGCTTTCCATCTGTTCAGTTCTGGTCAAGTTGTCCAGAATGACTGCAATTTGAACTGCTGTGTTTATGATCTTTTGTCAAAACGAGTGAACTGTGATCATTGTTGCGGTTATAGCATTCATTACACTCCTCATATTGGAGTTGCTATCCTTTTCCACCTATTTGGGGGTTATTGGGCTACACAATTTTTCATAGCATGCTCGTCGACTGTTATTGCGGGTTCTGTTGCCTCTTATTATTGGGCTCGTGGTGAAACTTCAGTAAGTTACTAAGCTATTTGTATAAATGTTTACAACTAAGTTGACTTGTAGATCTTGTTTGTAAGTCTGGATTTTATCTTTGTTACTTGGATTGCAAGAATGGACAATACAGAGATATAAACATGAGTGTTGAATGCTTGGTTGGTATTATAGCATCAAAGCTTTTAGTAATATTTATATTTTATAAAACATAAGGTGGCTTAGTTAATTCATAGTTCCTCTAGATCTTCTGTAACCTAATTTATAATTCCTCTAGAGGTGATGATCCAGTTACTCAGTGTGCAATAGAATCTTATTGTTATAAGCCATTGATTTAATGGTCTGTTATGTCATTCCAAAAACTGCTTTTAGAGATGGTGATCTCGTGCTTATGTGCATGTTAATATTGAGTTGAGAGTAGGGAGTAGACAGACATGTGTTGGCATGCATATCGGTATCTACATGTGTCAACAGGCATGCTGGCGTCTGCATGTGCCTGCATGCATGTCAGTGTCTCGACACGCTGATGCGTGTGTCGGGGTCTGCATGTGTCAATATGCTGAATATATGTTGGGGAATTGTCCCTCCAAATATAATTAATGTCTGCTGGATGATATCATGGGTCTTATTTTTAGTACTTCCAAATCGAGTTACCTGAGTTTTTCTTTTTGAGGACTAGTTAAAGTTTATTTCTTTGTGTACCAGTTTTTTATTTTTAGTTGCTCATTATTTTCTTCAATGCAGCCGGAAATTCCATTTCTTCCTGTCTTTTCCTCCATGAAACGGCTTGTGCGCTATAACCTTGGGTCGGTTGCTCTTGGCTCTCTAATTGTGTCATTTGTGGAATCAATCCGCTTTATGCTTGAGTCAATTCGCCGCAGACTAAAAGTTTCTGGAACCACACCTGATAACTGGTTTGGAAAGGCTGTGTACCATACTTCGAGATTTAGCCTGAGATGTATCGAGTGGACAATCAAATCGGCTAACCGCAATGCCTATATTATGGTAATTTTTTACATAAGTAGTAAATACTCAAGTTTCTGTAAGATTGTCTGTTTTTTCTCATAATCATTCATCTTTGTATGACAAATGTACAAAAGAGGAACTTATTTGTTAGGAGAAAGTCAAATGCCTCAATCGATTTCTTGTTTATGCTAACAAAAGAAGTGGTCACTACTTGGGAAATTTATGCCTGAATTCAGATTGGATAATGCATCATAGTATTCTCAAGTCTTAAGCGTGTTGTTTTGAGTATGCAATATCGAATTGGTGTGAATTATATGCCTTTTTGAAACTAATGGGATGTTTAACGTGATTCTGGGACTTGACTACATGTACTCAGAGTGGGCCATAAAATGAAGTAAGAACTCCAAGAAGCTTGAAAGAATAAAGAAGTGAGAAGGCACATGAAAGCTACCAATTAAACTGTACTTATTTTTGTTCTAACCTACAGGCTACATAACTGCAAACACTATAATGTATAACTTTTCTTTCCTCGTTTATGTGCTTATTTTATTATTCATTTTGGGTTTCAGATCCGGATACTGACTTGTTATACCTTCTGTTTTAAATTTTCTGTTTTATATAGTTTGTGCATCTGATTGGTTTCTGGAAAATATGCTTGTTACTCTTGCAGATTGCTATAACGGGTAAAAGCTTCTGTAAGGCTTCTGCAATCGCAACAGATTTGATCATTAGTAACATCCTTCGCATAGGGAGGGTAAATGTGATTGGAGATGTTATCCTATTCCTTGGAAAATTGTGTGTCAGCCTCTCAACAGCCCTTTTTGCGTTCCTTATGTTGGATACCCACAGATACAGATCTGCACACAACAAGATCTCTTCTCCTCTGTTTCCTGTGTTGGTATGATAATGCGTTTTAGTGACGATTTGTCATTGTCTGATGAAAGCATTAATATTAGTTACTGCTAGGACAGCAAAGTAGACTTTAATGCTATGTTGTTAGCCTCCCACTCTCTATAACATCAACGAGGCTTTCTTTAAAATATTTGTAGAGCCTATATTTGATTGACAAGAACCAGAGCACAATAATCATGTAGATTATATAAATGATTAATCTGCTCTTATATGTTTGTGCAGGTTTGTTGGGGTCTTGGTTATGTGGTTGCCACTCTTTTCTTTGCAGTGGTGGAGATGTCAATTGATACCATCATTCTTTCATTCTGCCAGGATTCTGAAGAGCACCAAGGGACTGCCCAATATGCTCCTCCACTTCTCATTGAAACCCTAAATGACCAAAATGAGATGCAGAGACTTACCCAAGGACCCCAATGATATACTAAGATGTATAATTTTCCTTCCTCAAACTTGCTTGATGGAATTTGAGAATCCTTTTGTAAGGTGCTATAGTCTAGCCTCCCAGTACGTACTCACCCTAGTCCTTGAATTTTTGTGTTCTACCTGTATATATTATTCAAGTGTTAGGCGAAACCGAGAGGGAAATGGGTGCCTCTTTAGAGGATTGGAATATTCATGGATGCAAATTTGAGACATTTGAAAGAAAACTATTGAATTAGAGTATATGAAATGTTATAAAAATCTAAATGAAAACTGCTCAGCTAGCTTTTGAAGAAGTAAATTCAGTGATCATTTTGAGTGATCAGGCATTTATGCAAAGCCTGCAACTTACCATTCTCATGGAGATGAATTCTAACTTGAAACAAGGTGTGCAATTTCGAGTCAATACGATAATACAATTCAAATTTTTTTCCAGTTAACATAATACGTTTAATAGGATTGATCCATTTTTGTTTTTTAGTTACTAGGATGGAAAATTATTTCAATTCTTGATGTTGCGTTTGCCAACTTGATATTATTCTGATTTCTGACTTTTCCAGCATTTAGTAACACATAGGGAATAAAATATATATAACAGGTTAGGCTACCATGTAACCAACCCATGCATTCGGAAGATTATGCTAGCCATTTCATTTGCCTCTGATGTTTTAGCAAAGTCCCAGTTATAGCTCCATATCAAATTCTATTCTGAAACTAACCTAACGTTTTTAGGTCAGTAGAAGCTGACCTGGTTGAGTAATCAACTTCACACAACAATGAAACCAACCATGCGATCTATAAGAAGTCAAGAACCATAAAAAGTAACTCCTTTTTTCGGTCGAATATCAAAAGTAACTCAAGCATGTGCAAACGTTTAATGAGCAGTTTAAAGCTCAACAAAGAGAGGACTTTAAATAAATAAAAAATTTCAATATCTAGATCAAGTCTTGCTTGAATTTCATCTTTCTAGAATCTTTTATCAACTTACCACAAAAGAAAAGTTCATCTCAAAGCCCATATGGACAACAACAAAAGCAGCATCTGTCATGGGCTTCTTTTAAGTTCACCTCTTCTTAAGGTGAGCTCTTGTTTCTTTCACTCATTTTCCTTGAGAAGCTCAAGCGTTTTGGGTCAATTACATCCAGTCGGATCCATATTGTTCGAGCATTCTCCTCCTCTGTCCACTTGATTGATTCCTTCTCCAGTTGCTTTATAATCTGCACAACAAAATTTAGAAAAATATCTAGATTCAAATTCTCATCTTCTAAAGGACAGAAACATATGGATGGAATCATAATGTATGAAAAAAAACCCCCAGAAGTAATAATCAATTAGAAAGTGTCATGTAGTTTGGCACAAAACCATCCATTAGTCTTCATGTCAAGAAGCCATACAATTTAGCATTGACACGTCCAGTGTTTAAATTAGCCATATTCCAAGTGAACTGGATTAAATGAAATGCTGAAAAACATTAGACCAAAAAACAAACAAAAAGAAAGTCTAGTATCAGAAAGTAAGCGTTGTAACATGAGCTTGATGATATAGTCATACCAGTCGTGTCCGGGCAGCTCCCGTCGTGTCATTCGTTCCCACTATGACCTTAAGGTACTTAAAATCTGAAAAGAAAAAAAGGAGATAACGAACCAAAATCATTCCATCTTGTGAATTTCATTTCAATAAAAAATGGAGGATCATGATAACCAACCTGGGATGCCAGAGAAATAGGTTAGTTGAAGCCTTAGAAGACGTACAGCTTCCTTGGGTTCATGGTGATGCAAGTCAAGAGACACCACATCTTCTCTGCATTCAATTTCTCACCTGTCATGCCATCTTATGAGGTGGTATAAATCATGGCACAAGAATGGTTTACAGTACACAACTACTCTGAGCTTCAAGAAGCTTTTGAGCGTATTTCTCGTCTGCTTCCTGTGCCTTTCTGCTATAGAAGTGTCCCTAGACATTCCACAGAGCATAAAATAAAGAATTACAGCCTTTAAAATTGAGCGGACAAGGGCACAAAATTGTTGAACATTACTTGAACCTTCTCTTTTCAGATTACAAGTAGTGTATTGAATCATTTTTCATGTATATTAGGCCACAAACAAGGAACAAAACAGCCTTCAACTGCATCTGAATTCCGTAGATAGGCTACTCCACCTAGACTGCATTGTATTTCCATTACTCAGATTAGGGAAGAAGGGCCAAAACAAGAAGCTAATAACCAGACCGATGACAAAAGAAATTCCAACAATGCCTGATGATATAACTATATGCTAAGCTAATATATGTATCACCAAAATCTCTCCTTGATTTCCCATATTGGAGAAGTAAAGGATAACTAAGTAACTTCAACTATGTTGTTGACCAACAAGGAAGTAACAAGAATGAAAAAACGTTGCAGGGGGGAAGCAACAAGTAAACCCATATGACATGTCTACTAACTAAACTGTTCCCGTGGATATTGAAGGGATAAATTTTGAGAAAAGAAATTCTAACTCAAAACAATTAGGTGGAACATAAATTATAAGGATTATTTTTATTTAAAAAATCAAAGCTTAAAGAGAGCAACACAGTTAAACCAAAAACAATACCTCCTCTAGAAGTTTGTCTGTACGTACACGATCACCCTCACAAAATGCATCAAAAGCCTGCAGAGCAAGTGGGAGGATTAGTACTACTCACTATGCCAAAGGATAATAACGATGATCAATTTAGCAGGAGATACTGTAAACCAACAAAGTTGAAGTTGAAATTATGCAACAAGAAAATGCTTGGCCTGATGCTACCCAAGCAGAAAATTAAAGAGAAAGTACTAAGAAGGCTATTATATCTCCCTTTTGTCAAGAAGAATAACGGACCACCATTCTCCTATAGCTATGTAGTCCCATTTATTCCATAGTATAAATTCTGCAAGTAAATTTTCAGAAAGTTCATAGGAGGATCTTACAGCTTTATAGTATTCCTTCATTGTAATCCAATGTTCTTTTACAGATCTACGTAGGACCTGATAGCTATTGTCACCATCTCCATCTTCTGTTTGAAGGAATTAAAAGCATTAGAAAACTTTATAGGGAAACAACTGGAAAAGAAATAGTAATATCCTTAGTCAATCACCACGGACAATTGAAATGAAGCCACACCCATGATTACTAAGCCAAAGGTATCCAATAGGACAAGATCAGTTATTGGGTCAGAGAAAGGTGATTGGATGGCCACTTAACTAGCATACAACGGAACCAAATCCTAGATCCACTTCCATATAACAGGACAACTGTGACCAAATTATTTAGAACGAAGTAAGAAGCTATCAGGATAATGAACTTTAAAATGAAGAGAGAGAAGTAGAATGATCTGAGGTGCTCCATTAGAAAAAATTGAAGGTCCATCCAATGACAATTGGTTGATTGAAAATTCAAATTTCATGTCAGAATTTTTATCAAGCAAATGGAATTTTGCTATTGATAAGCAATAATTTTCTCGTGTTTCCGAGTCTTTTATTAGAATTTTAGTATGATATAAAGACTATTCATACTTCTTTCTTTTTCCAATCCAGTAAAGCAAAGTGCACTGAATTAGACTCAGGTCTGAAAGAACTTTTGGCTAAAGGAAACTTGACCTTCAACTAAATCAAATATATAAGCATCAAATTATAGCTTCCGTACACTGTAGCCATGACCTCTTTACTTCCCCCTAACATCTTAAAGAATTACAGAAAAACAGATAAAGAATGGAAAAAATTAGAAGAAAGAAAAATATTGGATGAGTAATTATATGACTATGAAAAGATTGAAGTTTGTACCTGCACTGGTTACTTCTTCTGGTGCCAGAGTAGCAGTTTTACATTCTACAAGAGTGTCTCTAAAAGGTTCAACCGCAAATTTTCTAAATGCCTTATATCTCTTCACTTCCCTCACCGGGTGACTTCTTTTAGGTGCTTCCTCTCTTTCGGGAACATGAAACAATGCTTCTAAAACCTCTTTTTGAAGAACTAACCCATCCTTTTCTTCTATTGGTGATTTACTGGAAGAGTACAAAAACAATTTCAAGGTCCTAGTTAGTGCATAATGAAAGAGATGAAAAAGGAAAAGAAAAAAGAGTAGTTCATTCCAAGTGAAAGCACAATAAGACTCCTCTAAAGTGAACTAGCAAATGCTACCGATAATAACATACCTATGGGCAGAATGTTGATCTGGACTCTTCTCTGTAGACTGTTACAGGAAAAAACAGAAGAAAAAAAACTTAAAATGAATAAAAAGAACAAGAAAATGAAAAACTATTGATAGTTATTTCATGTCATAGCTTCAGTGCTAACGTAGTGAAACACGGAAGATGATTGAACAAATCTGATCGCGATTTTTAAAAAAAAAAACAGAAAAAAAAAAGGTACTAATCTCAAAATTCAGTAATTATTTAAGTCCTTTCTCTATCAAGAACTGTTGCTTCTTTTCAATCATGGGCCATAACACTTGTTCTTACTTCTGACAGCCTAAGATCTTTCTTTAATTTTCCCTGCCTGCCATTCAGGTAATGCCCGCATATTAAGTCTGAGTAAAAGTATCAAGATGCTATTAAACAAGATCAAACTATCTCAACTGTATTTCCATCTTGTTGTTATAGGATTTTACCTCAAACTTCCAACTAGTGTTTCTCATACTTTCCCCTTTGGCCACTTGTCCATTTGACCAATTTCTCTTCAAATTGTTCAACTAACAATTACTTGACTGTCCAAGCCTTTGGTAACTATACTTTCGCAATTGGCTGGGGAATGCATTAAAGCTAAAGCTTACCTTTAAACTAGATAAGCCAATAATATCATCAGACTTCTCCAAGGTTGATGCTGACATGAAAAGGAGATTCTCCATGCTCTGCATAATCAAAATATCAGTTCTTCAGAATTTATGGCATAGATTAAAATGCTGTGTAGCAAAGAGAAAAAAAGAAAAAAAAAAAAAAGAAAAAAAAAAGAGGATATTTGTAAAACAATCTCAATTTACTTGTTGAAAATTGAGTATTGAAATCATGATCTTCTTTTCCAGGTGTTCCGGGGTTACGTTTCTTGAAGGATGTGCACTAATAAATCTAGACAGAGTAATCTAGCTGAAGTTTCGGGAAGAGGGGGTTAATGGCAAGCAGAGAGTGGGCTAATTGGCAGACAGCAGTGACTTTGGACCCCTGTATTGAACAATTTTTTTTAAGTCTAGTAGTTTGCAATCACTTTCTACCATAAAATAATTCTCGTGTCACCATGAAGGCTTTTTTTATTGTCAACTGTACCAGATTAAACAGTTTTCTCTTCAGGTTTGCCTAATCTCCTCTCAAATTTCAACTGACTATCCCATCTACCTTCTACTTGTGCAACTACGTGTAAACTAAAGTCCAATGTTTCATGTATACAGATGTTACGGTCAAGTTTTCTGACTATATTCTACTATTAGATGATGCACTAATATACACTTATTGCAATTGTTTTTGTCACATATTTTGTTGATTTGAAGTTTAATCTTTGTGAAATTACCTGTATGCAATTAGTGTTGAGACATTTAGTTGTAAAGAAAACCAAGTTCTAAGGATGATTAATATTTGGAAAAGTCAATGGAGCTGTGCCACTAATACTTTATCATATTTTCATGCATAACTTCTTTTATCATACAAGAGTGTAAAAGTATTCACTAGCAGCAATGTTAGAAAATGGAGCAACATAAGAAATTCCACGATACCTTCTGCACATCATATCCACAATGGCCTGCATACAATGAAATTCCCAGTTACACAACGTATTGTCAACCTCAAGAACCTCATCATGAAAGAATGACACTATTATAAAATACAAAGGCACACTTGACCTTCCATTCAACTACAGAAGAAGTGCTTTTCTTTTTATATTTGAAAGGCAACCAAGGACAAAAACAGAACTATCACCTAGAGAACCCAGAAGTGCCATTTTAGCTCAATGGTAACGCTACATCGTTATACACTCATATTGTCCAATGTCAATGGATAGAATCATATTTATCTATTAACTCCGTCTCCATACCGAACGCCAACAGGTACAGATGCCCATTCAGCTCAAGAGGCCACTAAAGAGCTCAGGCAGCATTTGTAAGTTTTGTCGATCAGCCCGTTCAGGGGGTAGGGTCAAAAATTTAGATCAGTTTGATCCACTCAATCCGGTCCTGCTTAAGTGGAACCACATTGAGAACATGGCGCTCTAGCAGAGAAAAAAGTTATATATATATATATATATGTATATATATCGCATCATGATATACATTATAAGCACAAAATAAGCGACTCTTTCAGTCTGCCATTGCAAATTTACAGCAGTGTTGCATCATAGGACAAAGGAGATAATACAATGTATCAGCATCCATAAAAAATCAGAATAGGTGTTCCTACAAGGCCATCATTTTATCTCTTCTTATAAAGAGAAGAATGAATTTCTTTATTATAGCTCTAGTACATTTAATGCCTACAAGTATATTTTTCACCATCTCCTGTTTAAGTAATGTAAATGCAAAAGAAACTGAAAGTTCCCTTCGATAGGAGAAATTTAATGAACAGGTGTGTCATATTCCACTATCCAGATTTGGGTCCTAAGAATCAACCCCTACTCACTAATCGTATTCCAGAGTATTGAAGAAATCAAATTTCTAACGAGATAAGAAGATTTACCAAGAACTTCTCGGATGACATCCATATAAAGTTTAAAGCCCTCTCCAAGCATTTTAAACAGAAACTCTTCAATATCAGCATGCATTTTGCTGTTTTCTGCTGGTATGGTTGATTCAACTTCAAAGGCAGGCACTTATTTCAGCTCTAACTTTAATGGTTTCTGCACTTCAATAGATTCATTTGTTGATGATCTGGGCCTAATGTACTCTTTTCCAATCATACCTGAAACAGTACCCACTGATACAGAATTTTTTTTTGAGTTTGATGCTCTGGTATTGCCCGCTCCATTTAAGGGATTCTGAAGAACTTTGTCAGATGACATTCCTTCTGAAGAAGTTGCACTTGCACCCTCAAATTTAACTTTTGATGAACTAGCACCGTCTGAGGGACTTACATGTGATGCACATAGAATTTCAGCAGCCATTTCTACATTTTGCCTCGCCTGGCAGTAAGCAGAGGCTATGTCCTTGAGAGAGCACATAGAGCTAAAAACTTCAAGCAAATACTCCAAGTCCCTTTTCTGGTCATCGTCGCTTGCAGCAGGTGAGGAAAATGCTTGCATTTTGATATACACTTCACAAAGAAGAATAAGAGAAACAGAATGCCAATGTCAATAGTCAATGCATAATCAGTAACTCCACCAACAAGGGAACAAAATTACCGAAGCTGGTGCATATCAATCAACTATTTAAAGAAAACTAGCAATGACAAACAGAAGTCAATCGTGAAGGGAGATAACAAAATTAGTATAGTATTTCAGACTAATGTAACCCACTAAAAATCATTTTCAAGAGAACTAAAAGAAGTATTTAGCATCCAAAAGAATGTGGGTAAAACAAAGCTCTTATCTTTGAAAGTTCCATATGATTATTGGTTGATTAGTGACAAGTTTGGTTGGTTTGTGACTGTTAATCACAAGCTTTAAACTATTAGGAGGTTGGTCAACTAATATTTTATATTCCAACAATTCCCATCATATGTGTGAGCCTCTCTGCATCACTTGAGAGCCCATGCCCACACATGGATGATGGAACTTAACCCTAATAGGTTCTTGCAAAGAATCTTGTTTCATAACCTCTACAGAGAAACACACACACTCAAAAACATATTATGAAGTCCTCTGCAAACAAACACATTGAGGATTGTGCTATGAAGATATCATCATCATCATAGAACAGCATAATGCGTATAGTTCAAAATGTAAACCAAGAAAACAAATCAGGGTTTTAGTGAGAGAATAATTAGTGAAAGAAACGATTTTGATGAAGGGAAATGTGGAGGAAGAGAGTGAAAGGTCGCTTACCTGGAGAAGATTGAGCGGCGATAATACAGAAGGCAAGCAATGAAAAGAAAGCTTTAGAGAGAGAGAGAGAGTCTTTTCGTGTCTTTGTGTGTGTTTAAGGCGTCTTGCTTCTCATGGAAGAAAAGGAAATGGCAGAGCAACAGTGAGAGGGAGTGGCCGTGACTGACTGTGTGAGTGAGAAAATAGTAACATGAGAGTTCCACGCGATGTCGTAAGGCTGCGTCGTACGCGCTCCTTTCGCGGTCTTCTTTCTTTGCCTTTTGGTCTTCTTTCTTTCTTCTTGATTTCTTATAGGGATGGACAATGGAATGGGAATTCATTGGGCGTTTGGGTGTTGGGCTGTGGTGATGTGGTGGTGTGGCGGTGTGTACGCATTGAATTTTCACTTTTATTATAAAATGTGGTTAGTAAGTTGTGAGTAAATGTGATTCAAATTATATTATTGATTTTTCTTTAAAAGTTAAAATTAGATATCACTAAAAATTTTAAAACTTTTTAAAAGTCACAATTGGATACCACCAAATTTTTAAATATCTTTTAAAAACCACAATTAAATACTATTGGATTTAGACTTTTATAAACTCATTAAGGCCTCGTTTGGTATGCTAACTAAGACAAAACTAGATTGGAGTCATTGGACTGGCTAAGATTGGACCAGACTTTAAGTGTGTTGTTTGATGCTGTAACTGACTTTGGACTGGACTGGAAAACGTAATAATTTTGAACCTTTTGTTTTTTTTTTTCAGCATCTTTTCTTTATGAGAGATAATCATAATTTAGCAAAACATAAGGAAAAAGATATGTTAAATTGAAACAAAAAGACACAATCGATTGTATATGAGAAATCTGAGACTTATCAAACCAGAAAATCAACCCTAAAAAACCATAGCTTTCAACATCTAACCCAAAAAATCAAGATACCAATTATCAAAATATCTCAATATTCAACAATTAAATCGGAAAAAAAAAATCTTAGATGGAGATTGGGATGTTGGTTGAGCCAAATCAAAGTCAAATACACTTCTTTCTTGAAGGAAAAGAAAGAGAGAAGAAAAAGAGAGGCATGGATACCACTTAATTTTTAAAGATTTTTTAAAAATCATAACTGGACACCACCAAACTTTAAAATAGTTTTGTATTAAAAAAAAAATCACAATTGAATGCCACTAGACTTTTATAAACTCGCCAAAAATTTAAATTGAATACCTCCATACTTTTTTCCTCTATAAATGTTCATTTAATGTTCTAACTCTTTTTTAACTTTAACAGACTCTCATAACTCGGATCCAATAAATAATCAAGCATATATTTATGGATCTCGAGTCTCTGCATTTAGCATTAGTGCATTTATACGCATTTAAAGGAATCCTAACCATTTAATTAATCTTATGGCTAAAATTCTACCACGTCAACATAATTATATTAAAACCTTATGCACTGGATCATTTGTCACTCTTTTACACTGGAGCTACATCATCACCACAACCACACTTTTACACTGGAGCTACATCATCATCATCATCACAACCACCCAACATTGCTGACATAAAGAGATTCAAGTCTCTTGCCAAGATATTCAAGTCTTCTGCCAAGAAGCTTAGACCATGGATGTTTTGAAGAGGACTAGGAGGATGTCTTTTTTGAAGTAGTTGGATGTGTTTTGTCAACATGTTAGATGTGCTTTATGAATGGTTTATTGGATGTGTTTTTTGAGTCTCTGGGCTGGAACTTAGTGTGGTTGTTTTGTAAGGGATGTTTTGTATTTGGTAAATTTTGGAACTTCAACTGGGTTTATGTTCATCTATCTTTATGGTTCTGTTTCACTTGGAACTTGATTTGGTACACTTTGGAACCTATAATTGGGTTTTATATATGCTGAAGAAATTGTTTTATATTTCTCACACCTCTTGATCGACACCCACTACTATTTGTCCAGCATTATATTTGTTCATATCACAATTATCCACTCATGCCCTCTCATCAACAAAATGGAAACAAATTGAATACACCAACACCAATATGTCCACCAAACTCAAACTGAAATTTCATTGCCAAATGAACTACATATCGGTTACATTTCCACCTAATTGATCATAAGCTTTTCAGAGTTTCAACCAACTGCTCAAGATATAGAGCATCATCATAATCACCAAAAACCCAAAACCCAATGACAGAAATGAAACCCCCAAAATCCGATTCTCTCTTGGTCGTTGGCCTATTCTTTTCTCTTCCAACAATCTTTTCTGCTTGCCTAATTCTCCAACTTTGTACTCCAATTCCTTATTTTCTCTCTTCACAATTTTCAGCTTATCTTCCACTTCTTTCTTTTGTTCTTCTATTAACTTTAGGTCCTTTTCCATTGCTCTCATTCTTCTCAGCAACCCAAGGATTAGTTCTTTTCCTCTTGCACAGGTCAGTGCGTCCAACCACTCCCAATGATGCCCATTTCCTCTATTTCTCTACAAAGTACGTTTTCTCACATCAAAGCTAAACCCATAAAGCGCCAAAATAAAATTTCACAGATTAACTTATTCGACTCATCTCACAAGCCTCAAATCTTCTCTCAGGATTTAAATTAGCCCATGAAGTCCAGGTTTTGATATATCCTCCGCACCTGCATAGCTTCCTTGCACTAGGGCTCTGATTTGTTGATGAAGAAGAAATCTACGACATTTTTGCGCATGCACTGTGTGGTCTTCCCAAATTTCCTTTGAATTTCCAAAAATTTCAACACATCTACTGTTTTTATGTGGATTTCTTCGAATATAAATGGAAATTGAGGATTTATTTGGCGCCATATTTCACATTTTTCGGAGGGAAGTTACTTTAGATGGGAGGTTAGACATTGTAGACTTCAAAAGACAAATTTGCCCATGAAATTGGCACCACATTAGACAGACTTGACAGAATGACTACTGATGCAACAAAACACTTACTTGAGTGACCTCTGCAACTAATAATTGAATTCAATGACCAAAATGTAACTTCGGGTATAGTTGATAGATCATTGATGTGAATAACCCTAAATAGTATAGCCACGGCGCTATATGTGGTTATACTCAGTTTTTAATTTTTTTTAAAAGAAATAGTACAGCCACGCGGCTCTACTCGGTTTTGCTAATTTTCTAATAGCAAATAGTACGGCCATGCTATACTCGGTTTTTTAATTTTTTTAAAAAAGAAATAGTATAGCTGAGCGGCGATACTCTGTTTTTAAATTTTCTTTTAAAAAATAATATCACTACTTGGCTATACTAGGGTTTTCTTATTGTTTTTTTTTTTTTAAGAAATAGTATAGCCGATCGGCTATAATCGGATATATATATATATTTAAAATAGTATAGTCGGGCGGCTATACACGGGTTTTCGAATTTTTTTTAAAAAGACATAGCATAGCCGAGTGGCTATACAATTTTTTTAATATTTAAACGGTATAGCCGTCCGGCGATACTATTTATTAAAATAAAATTAAAAAAGCCTAGGCGGCCCATTTTTCAAAAACTTGAATGGCTTGTTTTTTTTAATATTTCTTTTCTTCGTGCTTGATAACTCAAGAGCCAACAATTAAAGTATCAGTTTATCTTCTTATCTTAAGGGTACACTTAACGCAACCCCTCTAGTCCTTCTCCCTCTCCATCTCCAGAGCCAACAATTTCTCCATATCCTGCTTCTCCAGTTCACTCTCCAGCACCCTCACCTGACATAGTAATCATCTCCCACTAGCACCATCTAACCAAGGTACCTCCACATCCTCGTCCATGTCCATACCGCGGTTCTGGAATTCCTCCAAGCTCCTCATCAACTTCTCATCCTAACCCTACTGTTCCTCCTACTTATGCACCTAATGGTTCCCCTTACTCGCCTTCTACGAGTCCCTCATCTCAATTGCGCCCCCATGTGTTACCTGCTCCTGTCGTGTCCAATGCTCCCAAGGGAAGTGCACAAGACTTGATTTCTCCATCACCTTCTCCATCCTTGTCATGTAAGTTACAAGCAGTAAGATTTACCCTTTTTTTTTTCTCCTGTTTTTTAGTTGGCATGTATGTTTGGTGACTTAATGCATTATGTTGTTTGTTTTTTATGGTTTTGGCAGTGTTAGTTATTCATATAGAATGCAGGCTCAGAGTTAGAGTTTATAAGAAATTATGATTCTTTCCTACAATAGAAACTCGAGTAATGACCTAATAATAATGGATATTACTCTAAAATCGAGAAAAATCAGGAGTTTTAAATAATAATAAAAAATAGTACAGCCGTGC